TTTTTTTTAAGAATGGATACTTTGTGTTTGAGAAATCATCTTCTTTATATTATTTTAGATACCTAGAATAAATTTAGAATAACATAGACATTAAAGGAATACATTGAGATTTGTGGAGAGTATTGCAGGGATATTCATGTTTTATTTTTACTTATAAAGATTCTTTTGCACATTATTTTAGGTGTAAACCGACAAAAAGCTCAAGAATGGTGCATCAAACATGGCTTTGAATTAGTAGAACTTAGTCCAGAGGAGTTGCCAGAGGAAGATGGTAGGTGTTTATGTGTTAGTATAACAGAAAACGTGGCATTTAGATTGAGGTACGAGAGATTATTTTAATTCAGAGAAGAAGAATCACAGTGAAATTCAAGAAATATTTTTTCCTCAGCTGTTTGAAAAGATCTGAGCAAAATTCGCTGATGTGGTCTTACCATTAATGTAATAATCCATTTATTTAGTTTCACCATCCATTTTAGCACTTTTGAAAATATTGTTCGTTTTTCTTACGGATAAAGGTAAAGGATTTTTATCTAAAATCTTTGTCATTTCCCCAATCCCTTATCCTTTCCCACTATCAAAGGAGAGTTAGACCTATATTCATAGATAAAGCTTATGTGTCTTATTTCAAATCCACAGTAACCTAAGGCTGAATTCCCAGGAACTCCAGGGGGCATGGCAGACCTATTTGTATATCTTTTGGACATTTGAAACCAAAAATAGATCCAGAATGGCTTCTCCCCATGTACCCCCTCCCCCCAGTAGATCTACATTAACTGCCTTCTCCTGCTGTCTGGACCTTCTATTTCTTCCTTCTCTTCTTCTTCCCTCCCCCTTTTCTTTTCTCATCTTTTCTTCTTCCAAGTGTAGCCATTGTGGGATCTACCAGGATAAGATGGCTTTTGGCCCACCAAACCTTATAATCTGGTACAGGAGATAAAATGTGTATGCAAATAATTGAATTACCAAGTGGAATGCCATAAGTATTATAGAAAAAATACTGGTGCCCTGATATTTCAGAGACAGGAGAGATTATTTCTCTTTAGGAATTCAGAGATTGTGTTGGCACCACGAACTCTTCACATGTCACCTGTTCCATGGGGAAGAAGTGGAAAAAGTACTAGACTTATAGTTAGAGGACCAGTGGAAGGGTGGCATTGAATGCCAGTTGTTCCAAAAGACATTCTAGGCAGGGGCAACCAGTATGAATTAAAGTACATAGATAGGACATAATCAGTCATTATATGAAACCTATTTTTTTAAAAAAAGGTAAGTAAGAAATACTTTTTTATATTCTGACTTATTTAGAATTTTTCAAAAATACCGTTACCTTTGAGAATAAAACCCTGCCAGAGAAAAAGAATAAAAGTGAAATAAAAGCGCTGATTTTTCTCCTTGTACCTTTTTAAGAATATTGAAAATTAGCAAGAACAATGTCTCTTTCTGTGTTTTTCTAGGTCCCCTAAAACTTGTGCCCTGTTTTGTGTATGTGAACATATGTGTGATTGATTATTTCTGGTACTACAATTTTTTCTTTGTCCTACTGTCTTTGGGAGTCAGTATTTGACTGTTACCATTTTGGAATCTCTGCTTCCTTATATCACTATACTTCTTTTTTTTTTTTTGAGACACAGTCTCACTCTGTTGCCCTGGCTAGAGTGAGTGCCGTGGCGTCAGCCTAGCT